TATATATATATATATATATTTGATGGGGATTAAAGTAAGATTTTTAATAGATTTTGATAGAAATTGATGAAATGTGTGGTTAAAATTAATTGTTGACTTTGACTTCGATTCTAATCTTGATTTTAATTGCTAACAAACAAGGGCATATATGTGTGTGTGTGTGTGTGTGTGTATAAAGAGAGAGAGAGAGAGAGAGAGAGCAAATTGTTCGTCTACTGACTGTAATATACATTTTTATGTACATAATAGATATAGATTTATTTCAAATGCAATTCAATTTGGTCCTTGTTTGAGCCCCTTTTTTGGGGTAATAGATTTTGGAATAGTGATTTTTTGAAAAATAATTGGTTAAAAATTGAGGAAATTTTTTTAGTTTACATGTACAAGTATTTTATTGCATGAAAAATGGGGCTTAAACAGGGGCTTGATGTGTCTGGGTTTCGTTGGATTCCTACAAGTTTCTTTCAAATGCCTCAGTGCTTATTGTTTGGTACTTGCACACTTACTAGACTTGTAGAACTTCCGCTTTACCGTTATTATCTGCTGATAGTCTAAAGGCTATTCCAACTTACAAGATGATAGTGCCAGTTGTTGAATTTTTTATTTTTTATGTATTACAAAATTCGGTATCTTTATTTGAAGAAAGTAGTAAGAAACTGACATATTCATCAGTGTAATAACAAGCCAATGTGCCTATATGCTGTTTGAAGACCATTTGTCAACGAGTAAAAGTTTAAGACACGTGTATTGGTTTGTTTGTTTGTTTGGAACTTATCATATCTGACTGGCATGAACCTGACATCTTCAAGTAATTACTAATGCTAATGAACAGGATGCTTCCCTTAATGTTAAATACTTGACATGCAAAACATAGAAAATGGATGATATTGTCTTTGATTTTATATTTGATGTATCTGTAATTGTTTTTGCAGATCTATCTGTTTCGCAGAACCTTGTAGAGGTATGTGGATAATTGCTGTTATCGATCAAATTATTTATTACAGTAATATATTGTCTTCTGAAGTTTTGGATCTTTTTCCTTTTTTCTATTTTTGCCACCACTTTTCAGTTGAAGCAACCAGCTGAATCTGCAGCACTATCGTACCCATCTCCTGTTAAGCTATCTCCTTCAGCCCCTTCAATTTCACCCATGTCGATGTCTCCTTTGTCATCCCACAGCCACATGCTTCCTCCAAATTTGACCCCTTCCAGGTGGAGTCGCCGTTCTCCTGGACAGCAGCTGCTACGACAAGTATCTGATAGCCCAATTCCAGAATACAAGTCGCGTGAATTCTCAATTTCTGAAGCGTCTTCTTTTGTTCTCCCTGCTTGGGGCTATGAATCAACAAGAGGATCCAATGGTGGGTCGTCTGATGGTTGGTCGATTCCTCCATTCTCTGAGCTCATGACGACTCGGAAAGAGAGATGGTCTTTTGATAGTGAAAACTCGGGCATCAGTAGGGACAAAATAACCAGATCTGCTGGACAAAATTCAGGATCTCCTTCTTTTGATCTCCAAAGTTGTGGTGTTTGTGCTAAGCTTTTAACAGAGAGATCCTTGTTGGGCAGCCAAAAAATAATAGCTACCAATGAACTTGCCATGGTTGCTGTGTTGATTTGTGGACATGTTTACCATGCCGAATGCTTGGAGTATATGACACCTGAGATCAACAAATATGACCCTGCTTGCCCTGTCTGTACTTTTGGGGAGAAGCGGGCCATGAAGATGTCTGAAAAGGCCATCAAAGCTGAATTAGATTCAAAGGCTAGAAAGCGATCAAGGAACCGTATTGTCGATAGTGATGATCTCATCTTGTTTGATCATCATAAATGTGGTGGGCATGAAGGTAGGGGTCCCAAAATGAGTTCAAGTTCCAGCATGAAAAGCTCGACAGGAAAGCCTTTCTTGAGACGCCACTTCTCATTTGGGATGAAGGGACATAAATTGTCCGAGAATCATTCTGCTCGAAGAAAGGGGTTTTTCTGGTCAAAGTCTAGTAAGGAATGAACTTCTTGATGAGTTTTAAGGAAGTAAGTGCCCATCTTTCTAGTTTTGATAAAACTGAGTCTTTAAGTTTTGTTGTGCATATGTAGTTGATAGTCAATATTCAAATCAGTTCTTTTGGAACATCTGAGAACAGCTTCCATTCTAAACGTTTTGGCAAGATGTCTAATATTTTTTACCGAACTTTTTCTCTACAGATTCTTCCACAGTTTCATCTCTCTGCTGCCATGATTTGACAGTGAACATGAATGAAGCAGTCGACATAGTATGTGGTCATCATTGCAGATGACATATGTAGTAGTAGCTGAAGGCACATTGTAAAGAATGGGGTATAATACGTTTAAGGTTCAATTCATTATTAATATAGAAAAAAGAAAATGATAAGAATGTCAATTATGAAACTGGTTACATTTTGTTTTGTAGAATTGAAGTTTGATTGTTTCATGTTCAAGTGCATGAAAAATAGTCTTGGTGACATAATGCATGGTGGTTGAGCAATATTTCTTAATTCGATGATTCTTGTCCCTATTTTCAGGCATCAAAAAATGAAGTTCCTAACGTTATGAGAAACAGTAGTACACGAATATAAATAACAAGATGACAGTCCCATTTTCATTTTGTTCCGTCGGTTTTCCTCAATTCATTATGGATCAGATTGGTGCCTCTTCAGATGGACATATTTATGTCCATGTCTGTCTGAATTTGTAATTGCTTATAATTTGGTTAAATTATACTTTAATCTGTGCATTTTATAGAAACATGTCATGGACGTGAACATATATAAATGAGCCTATAATTTCAGTTTTGGTACAAATTTATAATTTCAGTTTCGTATTCAAACAGAAATGAAATTCATCTCAAGTGATGTGGTGGAGGAAATCAGATGTATGTATTCAGACACAATATTGGATGAAACAGACGTGAAAACATGTAGGAAATTATTCAATTCAAGAACAGATATTCAATCCAAATGAGCATATAGCAACACATCTGAAAAGAGCAGATACACCACTCTCCCATAGCTAACCCATACGAAACTGGTTCCTAATCCTTCCCAAAATCAGCATTATAATGTGCAGTCGATTCGAGTTTCTTTGCTTCATTCAGTTTTCTTACAGCCTGAAACATTGCACAAGCGTAAGATAAATTAGATCCCATCTCGTGGAGTAACAATAATGATGCAGACAAAGTTCCTTTCGGGGAAGGAAAAAAACAAAACCTACACCAGAATGAATACAAACATGAACCGCAACTAAGTCCAAAGCTCACGAAACACAAATTGAAACAGTGAGTGAAATGTGTGTAGTGTGGCAAACAAGTCTCTACAAGTACCATTCACACATGATACCGCATTATGTAAAAAAAATTTGAAACTTCATCTCATTTTTCAAGCGCATTAAAAAATTCAACGTGCATGTACGTTTTACCTTCATAAAATCTTCATGGATTACATAATCACGCTCTGCACGAATTGCTGACATACCAGCTTCAGTGCAAATATTACGCAAGTCAGCCCCATTAAAACCCTGGAGAACGCAACATGTCAGTAATACTAATCTGAACAATGTTCCCAAAAAAACAGGTTAAACAACTAAATTAGTGTGATTAAGCTCACCTCGGCAAGTTTAACAACAGCCTCGTAATCAATTTCACCATGCTTGGCAATTCCTGCAGCGTGGATCTTGAGAATTTCCAATCTTGACTGTTCATTGGGAAGCGGTATTTCAATTTTCCGGTCTAAGCGACCAGGACGAAGAAGAGCAGGGTCAAGAACATCAGGTCTGTTTGTCGCCATAATCATTTTAACCTGCAAAAACATTCAAGATGTATCATAATCTAGTCAAACTAGCACGTACACTGTAGTAAGAGCATCTATGGGTGGGCTTAGAGCATGTTTTTGGTGGCTTGTGCCAAAAAGTAAGGTCATGTATGGCTTAATTTGGCTTATTTTGAATGTAGGTGGGTCTACACTAAAAATAAGCCACACAACTGGTGGTCATTTTTAAGTATAAGCCACCCCAAACATGATCTTATTTCTAAAAATAAGCCACATCCAATGGCTTATAAATGAACCCCAAAATTTTGGGAAATAAACCCACTCAAATATGCTCTAAAGCTGAATTTCAGGGGAGGGAAACTGAGAAAAGCTTTTTTTCATCAGTCAAACCTTTCCAAGCTGGTCAAACCCATCAAGCTGGTTGAGCAACTCCATCAATGTCCTTTGAATTTCACGGTCAGCGCTTGTTCCCTCGCTGAAACGGCGTCCACCAATGGCATCGATCTCATCCATAAATATGATGCAAGGCTTCACATAAAGAAAATAATTCATAGTATCACTTTCTTTTACAATAATTGGTATTGAACTTATCAATTCAATATAATACAGAAAAGCAAAGGATAGTAGCTACTAGATTCTTACTTGGTGCTCACGAGCATAACCAAACATTTCCCTGATCAGTCTAGCACTCTCACCTATATACTTATCGATAATGGCACTTGATACAACCTGCATAGTGCCAACTTGTAACAAGTTACTCACATTGTATGATGACTCTAAAGAAATGGGGCTCTTACAGGTGAACAAGGATCAGTTGTAACAGTATCTACTAACCTTTAAGAAATTTGCATCTATGTTGCTAGCAATTGCCCTGGCTAACAATGTCTTGCCAGTTCCGGGAGGACCATAAAGAAGAACACCCTAAACAAGATAAACAGCATTGCTGAAAGTAAACACCAAGATAACATTAAAAATGTTGTTTTCTGTAAAACGTATTACCTTTGGGGGTTTAATGCCAACCCTTAAGAAGAGTTCAGGATTCATCAGAGGTAACTCTATAGATTCTCTCAGTTCTCGGATCTGATCTGACAGCCCACCCACAGCAGAATAACTTACATTCCCAGGGTCTTCATGAAGCATATTGTATACAACTGGATCAACCTGACATAGACATCAAAAACCAACGAGTCAAGATAATAATATAGAATTAATGACATGATATCCTTCTAAGCCAAATATCAATGCATTTCATTAAATTGTTGTGTACCTCACGAGGGAGAGCTCGCATAATAGTGAGAGTTGTCATATCAAGAACTACTCTCGTGCCGGCTGTGAGTTTCTCTTTGTCTACTTTACTGCGGCAGCCAACCACATATCTTGGACCACTGCTGGCTTTGACTATCACTGTAAAACATTACATAAAGTCAGTGTAAAATTTTTTTGTCTCTTCACCTCCTTGCTTATGAAGAACTATACAACTAAATGGCCAGAAGAGGCAAAAAAATTATTGAAGAATCAAATCTCAGAATAAATACTCAAACCTAAAGATAATGACGACAAGAAATAGATTAAAGAATTCTTACAGCGCTCATTGTCCAGGGGCCTGAGAACTTCTCCTATGATCTGTCCAACACTCTGAAGTGACTTCAAATCATCTTCCGTTTTAGCATATTCCTTCTTTGTAGTTCTTAAATTCTCTCGAACTATATAACATTTTTACAGTGTCTTTATGTCAGAGGTATAATGTATAACATACATGAAGGCAAAGATATAGTTGAAGTAATAAAGCTACGATGCTGAAAAGAAGTCTATATTCTGAACTCTCATGATTTAAAGATCGTACCACATTGATCAAACAAAAATAATAAAACTTATAAAATTCTACACATGCGTGAAATTGAAGATTGTGGCTTTTCTGAACTCGAGAAATACTTGCATACATAATTTAGTACACCCATTCTTCTAACATGCCACTTATGATATAGTAACTAATCTACATAGACAGTCCACCAGGCAGTTATTTATTTCAGATATATGTACAGTTCTCACTAGACTAACATAGCCTAAGATCTCATGAGACAGTCCATACAAATTAGCTCAGTTTCAAGCATGTATCAATAGTATACAAATGGGAAGACAATTAGCAGCTAGCAATCCAGGTATTCAAAAGTCAATCATATATGATCAACAAAACATGAAACTTTATTCTGTAGAGAAGTCCTTTAATTAAACTTAGTATCTCACACTATTTTACAGAAAAGAAATAACTGCTGCTATATAATCCATAGTGAAATAAATTAAATGATAGAATTTACTAATGTAGGATTCATAAAAGTCATAACATTAGTCCGTGAACAAGTTTTATAGCTATCTCTTTTAGAAATGAACATCACATTTTTAATCCACTAATGTTGATTCCACAAGATGACTTCCTCTCAACTTGTAGCTGAAATGAATATTTTCCTGTATTTTTGTTTTCTTTCAGAAATGTACTGACCAAGGCACAGATAGAGAAGGAATTCAAAGACCAAATAAGATAGCTACTTGAGCCCAAGAAGGATACAAGTCTGACACAAAACAAAAAGCATCTCAAGATCATTTTCAAGCCCATGTCCAAAATGATAAACTTTTGCAATCAAATGGAAGAGAAATATTATTGATTGAGTGGAGCAATTACCCAAAGGTCATATTTGGCTGTACCCTAAAAATGAATAGAAACAAACCTTGGGAAAATGAGGAGAATATTCTTTTTTCCAATTAGAAACACCATCAACCACTTTCATCAAATATGGATACATTTTTAGCATGAGGACCATGGTATCATGGAAAGAGAAGATTTTGAACGAACATTGGCATGGGAACTACAATGGATATAAAAAGGAGCTTATTTCTTGTATAAAAGCACAACCATGTAGACAAAGAAAATACACAAGATAGGAGAGGAATAAAAACATGTTTCATTTCTAAAATTCATTTTTCAATGACTTTCTAGATTTTTAGCCAAGGCTAGGGATGAAATTCATGGTGTAGGTGTAATATTTCTCTAACCTTTGAAGATTTCATTTTTAGTATAAGCTTTCTTGTGATTTATTATCTATGCAGAAAAGAATTACCATTATTATTTTGCAAATTAATTTTAGCTCATTTTTAACTCTTAGGTACAATGAGTATTTAAAAATTTCTTGCAATGTAGTAATTAATTCTCCAAATATTTTATCAAACAAACACTAAACATCATCTTTTGAGAAATTAATGTTATGTTGTAAAGGGAACTGACTCCAAACATAGGAATGGATGTCATTTTTTGATTATGGAAACATCAACGCGCAACCATATAATTAAAGGATCTTAATATGAATGGATGTCATATTCATTTTCTGCAAAATTTTATTCTGAGGGAACTGATTCCAATCATAGAACCGCACCAATTTACTCTAATCTAAGCTCTACTGATGTGAGCTCTTGGGAAGATCAACACGTTATCCAGAATTGGTTGGTAAGCAAGCAGGCTTTAGTCCAACCTGGCTGAGTCAACAACCCTAGCACATACTAACACGTAAAAACACCAACAACAAACACAGAAAACTACTTCAGCATATGAAACTAGTGCACAAAACTATGAGGTAACTTTCAGATAACAGAACTTACTCATGGAAACCTAGTGAAACAATCACCCCAGTGATGAGGCAATTCCTGTGCTAATAATGCAATCTACCAGTTAGAACTAATACACCTCATCTACTTTCTCCCTTGACCAGAACTCAAATTAAAAAAATCAGTCAATCGAATACTCATATACAAAAGCTTACTCCAAAATGAAAATAACACTCCAACAAGGACAAATCCATTCACAAAGTAAATTTTTTTTGAAAGGTAAAATTTAATATCACATTTGTATTACACTCACAGACTAAATTACAAATGAGATCAAATTTAAATTGCTCAAAGTTTAGACTGCATATCTAATTAAATAGATAATTAATTAATCAATTAAAGTCCCGCTCCAACAACTACTCAAATGTCCAAATCAGTAAAAATAAGGTAAACTCTAAATATATAAACCAGAAAATTCACAGGTAGTTCAACGAAGCCTAGATTATCAACTCCTTTGCCAGTCATCATCACTTATGCGTTCATAAACCACCTTAAAGTTTAATTGCACAAATCTCAACAATATACACGAGACATTTACTAAATCCGCGCATAATTATTCATGGAAGGTATTGTTCAAAAAAATCTGCAGAGATAATTAAGGAGAAGACTAGGGTTTATGAAAACGACACCGGATCGGACTCGGCTCTCGAGTTCTTTGTGGTTGAGAAGCTTTCTCCGGTAGTCCTGAATCGCCGTCTTCCGGCGAGCGGCATCTTCACTATCGGTTGCCATTAACGTTCTTTTGATTTTTGTTGTTCTTCGATCTGAATAAATTGTAAACTCCCAGTGCTATATTCGTTTGGTCTGGCTCAAGTTCAACTTGCCAACCAAGCAAGGTAACAAAGAAATTTGACAAATATAGCACTAAATTGAATTTGTATTGCTTTGACAAACCAGGTATATTTATATTTCCAATAAAGCTATTCAAACATATGGGATGACCAAAGTGGTAATTGAATGACGTGGAAAATGGGTCTTAAAAAATGGAAAAGAGAGTAATTTACTTCAAATCCGTGTCCAATCAGTTCCGGCACCCATTTACTTATTGGAAAATGCTGGGCGTACAGATTGTTTTTGATAGATATTTTACAGAAATTTTGAAAAATCTGAAGTAGATGGGCAAAAGCTGAGCTAAAAGTTATAATAAACTAAAATAAAAGAAATCCCCAAATAGAAGACCCACAGAAAGCGGCAAAAAGTGGGAAAACCACGTCCATTTCCCCCCGATTTTCCCATTCTTGTTCTATCCATTTTCTCAGTTCCATTCCCTCTCCGTTGACGGCAAGATAATCGGGCACGCACGTCCGGCCGAAAGTCTTCATCATTTCCCCCAATTTTCTCGTTTCCATTCCCGTGTTCGGCATTCCCCCCACGTCCTCTATGTTGCGCAACAAAATCGGGGCTGCACCTGAAGCGTTCCCCCAATTTCCTCTCCATCGACGCAAGAAAGTCTAGAAACAGCATGATATACCACAACATGAAGAATAATCAGATTATTGAAACTTAATTTTAATGCATATAAAAGAGTGCTCAAAAAAATCAGATTCAAATCAGTTCCACAACATGTCTAAATTCGACAACAATAAACGTTCAATATGTCAACCCATCAAATTGCACTTCTACAGCATATTTGATTTCTTTTACCAATTTGTTTGTTCTTCAACTTTTAATTACAGAAACAAAAACTACCCATTTAATTCCTTCCATTATTTTTACAAAAGTTTTTCTGCAATTTCGCTTCGTTTCTGTTCAGTGACTTCATGGCTGTCACAGAGATTTCATCCTCTGACCAAAGGTTAGACGTCACACATTTACTTGAGATGTATAGACGAAAAAAGGTGTCGTCTTCAGTTGGGCGGTGGAAGATGGGCAATGTTCGAATTTCTTCGATTTTCACAAATCTTCGGTTTCACGGTGGAAACGGTAATGGAGAGTCGGGAAGGGTTTTGAAATTGGGGGAAAATGTTAGAAGCGAAATAAGGGCTGCCGGGTTTCCAAACATTTTTTGTCCTTTTTCTTTTTTTATTTCTTGCCAGGTCAGATTGTAAAACTCGTGTCAACGCCCTTTTTGTACGCCTAGCAGCACCTTTACTTATTATTACGCGGGCAAAATTCAACCCAATTTCCTTTCCATTTTCACTCTTTTGGCACAAATTGCAGAGCCTGCAACTTTCTATCTTTATTTTTTACCTCGTGCTTCGACAACGTCGAAAACAGGGAGAAAGTTACCATTCGAAATTTGGCTACACATCCACCTGTTCCCACCTTCGCTCGCTCGAGAAGATGAGCGGTAAAGGTATTGGTTTCCATTGATTTTTTATTTCCTTGTTATAAATAATAACTTGACATTTTTTGTGGTCTTTGTACTGATTTGCCATTATCTAAACTTTACGATTCTCTAGCATTTTCATTAACCCAAAACAATTGGAACATTTTCATTTATTTCTTACATATGCTATTTTCCCTAATTCTTCACCCGAGTAGTGAATTGTTGGTTTTGGGACTTTAATGTGTGATCAGTTGAGGGGGATTTTTCAACTGCAAAGAATTGGAACATTGTCATAGACCTCATTTATATGGGATTTTCCCTCATTTTTCATCCGAGTAGCAAGTTGTTGATTTTGGGGCTTTGCTGTGTGATCAGTTGAGGGGGGTTTTTTCGTCTGTAATTACTGCATAACGGTACTAAGCCTAATTAGAATTTTCGTTTAAGTATTTCGGTAATGGAATTTTGTTATTTTCTTTGTGCGGGAAAAGTTAAATATAGTTTTATAAATTATTGTATTGTTATGCTTCTTTCAACATTTTATTTGATTTTTTTGTTGCAGGAAAAGAAATTGTGGACTATACGGATGACATTATTTTGGTGGAATTCGATAATGAGAATGTTATGGTTAATACGAACAGAGTAGGCGATGATATGTTAGTCGAAAATAGTGCGATTGTGCCTGAGGTGGGTATGAAATTTAAGGATGAAAATGAAATGTTCAAGTTTTACAAAAGATATGCATACGACATTGGTTTCCCCAATTAGAAAAAGAAATTCAAAAAAGGATGATGATGGAGTATTGAGATATATTACATTTGTATGTAGTCGTGAAGGGAAAAGAATCCAAAATACGAGTGGTTCTTTCAAGTCGCAAGCAACGATTCAGAGTGGATGTAAAGCCAGGATAATTGGATGTTCAGATATTTGTGGTGTATGGAGAATCAACACAGTAAACCTCGATCACAATCATAAAACACGCCCTTCAAAGTCCAAGCTATATAGATGCAACTGAGAATTGAATGCATATGTGAAATGACGACTTGAAGTAAATGACTTGGCTGAAATTCCGTTACACAAAAGTTACAACTCTAAAGTTATTGAGGCTGGTGGATATGAGAATATGACTTGCATAGAAAAGGATTGTCGAAACTATGTTGAAAAAGTTAGGCGATTAAGACTGGGAGAAGGAGACGCAACAGTGATACAATCATACTTTTCTAAAATGCAAGCACGGTGCTCGGGCGTTTACTTCAGTATAGATTTAAATGAAAAGTTGCGGTTAAAAAATGTGTTTGGGCTGGACAACATGAGTAGGCAAGCATATAAAGAGTTCGGTGATGTTGTCACCTTCGACACCACGTACCTCACTAATAAATATGACATCCCTTTTGTTGGCGTAAATCATCATGGACAATCTGTACTCCTTGGATGTGGTCTGTTATCGAACGAGGATACAAATATGTTTATGTGGCTATTTCAGACATAGATGGAATGCATGCATAGATAAGCTCCCCATGGGATAATAATAGATCAAGGCAGGATTATACAAAATGCAATTCAAATTGTATTCCCCAATACAAGACATAGGTGGTATTTGTGGCACATATTGAAGAATTTGCCCAAAAATTTTGAATACCACGTGGGAAAATGTTCAATATTTACTATGATACACAGTTTGGTCTACGATTGTCAATTTATAGACGAATTCAAAAATGGATGGAGAGTGATGATCGAAACGTATAATTTGTATGATAATGACTGGTTGGTGAGGTTGTATGAGAATACGGAATGTTGGGTACCGTGCTATTTGAAAACCACATTTTAGCGGGATGTCAACAACTGAGTGCAACGAGAGTGTGAATGTGTTCTTTGATGGTTATGTGCATTCGAAGATGACGTTGAAGCAATTTGTTGAAAAATATGAACGAGATTGAGAAGTAAGGTTAAGAAGGAGTTCCATGTAGATTTCAAGTCTTACTCGCAAATGGTACCGTGTGCAACAAGGTATGAAATGGAAAAGCAATTTTAGACAGTTTACACAATTTCGAAATTCAGGGAAGTTCAAGAAGAGTTCATAGGTAAGGTTTATTGCGATCTCATATCGACTTTCGAGGGATGTTCAAGGACAATTTACGAGGTGCAAGAGGACGTAATACATGATGATCATTCTAAGGGAAAATGTTTTTCATCTCATTTCAAAGAGAAAAATGTGAAATTACATGCAGTTGTCACTTTTTCGAGTTTCGGGGTATTATTTGTCGACATGCGATCGCTGTCTTGATTCGTAATGATGTGAAATCAGTACCGAAAAGATACATATTATGAAAATGGCGACGAGATGTGAGTAGAGCCCACAAAAGGATCGCAGTAACTATAATAGTTTGGTCAGTACTCCTAAACATTTGAAAGTACGACAAAATATGTTAACATTTTGCAACACCGGCAAACATGAATGTAGATAATGAAGTCAAATCCGATGCTATAATTGATTGGATTGACACTCAGTGTAATCAGATGATGAGGTCGAAGTCTATTTCTAGTAGTAATGTCATGTCCTTGCATAACAATCAGATAGCGTTAAAGAGTGAAGCATCACAGGATACTAGAAGTGGTAGCATACGGGATCCAATATGTGTCAAAAGAAAATGTGCACCTAGGAAACTTTACAAGAAAAGCCCATTGGAATCAAGTTCGAACAGAGTAAAGGTAATTCCCAATTTTATGTATCTGAAGGTCGTAAAGTACATATATGTGTCAACTTTTAATAACATTATCATGTTTTACAGGCAACTTTGAGTTCAACCAAAGGAAAGAGACCTAAGGTTCACACAAGTAATATGGAAGATGTTGCACCTGTCATCCAGTTACCTTAACAAACACCTATGCCAATACCATTATCATATACATAGTTCCTTCTGGTTTGTAGATATCGAAATATATGATTTACTAATAATGTTATTTCTTGTAGGGTGGTAACCATGATCTTCAATTCACACAACACCTACAATCCAGAAGTATCGTCCCTCCATCTTCAACAAGTGTTATATTCAATAGTCAAGATAAAGCATCTATAAGAGGAAAAATATCTATCATTATTTTCTAATGTTTTTGGGATTAGATTAAAATGGGATTGTAATTGATTTTTCACTGGCTGGGATAGACAACATTTGCATGATGCTGCTGGCAATGATGTACAACAGTCAAAAATGCATGGTGGTGGAAGATTTGCACGATTTTTCACAAGTCTAGAACAGAATGGAAGTTCCAAGAGTAATTAATCTTACTTGTTGAAGCAAGTTAGAATAGTTAAGAGTATATTTCTAACGCTTCGAGTAGCATTTTTAGCTAATGTAGGGTATAAAAAGTTGGGTATGATTTTGTTCTTCCACTGTTCGATAGCTAAAGAAATCTGGTTTTAGTCCAATGTTGCTGGACTGTGTCAAAATTATCTTGTTGTGGCTGTTCCGAAAAACCATGTTTTATTCTTAATAAAGTTGGAGTTAGCAGCATAAATTATTGAATGGGAAGTTTTGTCTCGATAAAGTTGGAGTTGGCAACATATATTATTTGTATCCATTTTCATTTGTTGTGAATACCCTTTGAAAATGCTCACAGTAGATCTCTAAGTTTAAGTTATATGAAAAGACATAACACACTTTAATATTGCTTTTGGATGCTACTTGCAATGCTACGAGTTTGCACTCTAAATGTAAGAATTTACAATTTTAGTGTTGGAAACTATCATGACATTAGTGAAGAGGATGTGGCTACTGGAGAGTTATTGCTTGGGCGAAGGAATCCCAGCCACTGTTCAAGTATGATTATATACACTAGTTCACGCATATATGTATGTGCACAGGATT